GCAAATCAATCAATGTGATACAATCATTAATAAAAGAAAGAACAAGAACCATATGATCCTCTCAAGATGCAGAAAAAGCATTTGACAAAGTACAGCATCCTTTCTTGATTAAAACTCTTCAGAGTGTAGGGATAGAGGGTATATACCTCAATATCATAAAAGCCATCTATGAAAAACCCACAGCGAATATCATTCTCAATGGGGAAAAACTGAGAGCTTTCCCCCTAAGGTCAGGAACATGGCAGGGATGTCCACTATCACCACTGCTATTCAACATAGAACTAGAAGTCCTAGCCACAGCAATTAGACAACAAAAATAAATAAAAGGCATCCGAATCAGCAAAGAAGAAGTCAATCTCTCCCTCTTTGCAGATGATATGATACTTTATGTGGAAAACCCAAAAGACTCCACCCCAAAATTGCTAGAACTCATACAGGAATTCAGTAAAGTGGCAGGATATAAAATCAATGCACAGAAATCAGTTGCATTTCTATACACCAACAACAAGACAGAAGAAAGAGAAATTAAGGAGTCAATCCCATTTACAATTGCACCCAAAACCATAAGATACCTAGGAATAAATCTAACCATAGAGGCAAAGAATCTGTACTCAGAAAACTATAAAAATACTCATGAAAGAAATTGAGGAAGACATAAAGAAATGGAAAAACGTTCCATGCTCATGGATTGGAAGAACAAATATTGTGAAGATGTCAATGCTACCTAGAGCAATCTACACATTCAATGCAATCCCTATCAAAATACCATCCACTTTTTTCAAAAAAATGGAATAAATAATCCTAAAATTTGTATGGAACCAGAAAAGACCCCAAATAGCCAGAGGAATGTTGAAAAAGAAAAGCAAAGCTGGCAGCATCACAATTCTGGACTTCCAGCTCTATTACAAAGCTGTAATCATCAATACAGTATGGTACTGGCACAAAAACAGACACATAGATCAATGGAACAGAATAGAGAGCCTAGAAATGAACCCTCAACTCTATGGTCAACAAATCTTCCACAAAGCAGGAAAGAATGTCCAATGGAAAAAAGACAGTCTCTTCAACAAATGGTATTGGGAAAATTGGACAGCCACATGCAGAAGAATGAAACGGGACCATTTCCTTACACCACATACAAAAATAGACTCAAAATGGAGAAAGACCTAAATGTGAGACAAGAGTCCATCAAAATCCTAGAGGAGAACACAGGCAGCAACCTCTTTGACCTCAGCCACAGCAACTTCTTCCTAGAAACATCGCCAAAGGCAAGGAAAGCAAGGGCAAAAATGAACTATAGGGACTTCATCAAGATAAAAAGCTTTTGCACAGCAAAGGAAACAGTCAACAAAACCAAAAGACAAATGACAGAATGGGAGAAGATATTTGCAAATGACATATCAGATAAAGGGCTAGTATCCAAAATCTGTAAAGAACTTATCAAACTCAACACCCAAAGAACAAATAATCCAATCGAAAAATGGGCAGAAGACATGAACAGATATTTCTGCAAAGAAGACATCCAAATGGCCAACAGACACATAAAAAAGTGCTCAACATCACTCAGCATCAGGGAAATCCAAATCAAAACCACCTCACACCAGTCAGAATGGCTAAAATTAACAAGTCAGGAAATGACAGATGTTGGCAGGGATGCAGAGAAAGGGGAACCCTCCTACACTATTGGTGGGAATGCAAGCTGGTGCAGCCACTCTGGAAAACAGTATGGAGATTCCTCAAAAAGTTGAAAATAGAGCTACCCTACAACCCAGCAATTGCACTACTGGGTATTTACCCCAAAGATACAAATGTAGTGATCCGAAGGGGTACGTGCACCCTAATGTTTATAGCAGCAATGTCCACAATAGCCAAACTATGGAAAGAGCCAAGATGTCCATCAACAGATGAATGGATAAAGAAGATGTGGTATATATATATATATATATATATATATATATATATACAATGGAATATTATGCAGCCATCAAAAAGATGAAATCTTGCCATTTGCAACGACGTGGTTGGAACTGGAGGGTATTAAGCGAAATAAGTCAATCAGAGAAAAACAAGTATCATATGATATCACTGAATATGAGAAATTCTTAATCTCAGGAAACAAACTGAGGGTTGCTGGAGTGTTGTAGGGTGGGAGGGATGGGGTGGCTGGGTGATAGACATTGGGGAGGGTATGTGCTATGGTGAGTGCTGTGAATTGTGTAAGACTGATGAATCACAGACCTGTACCTCTGAAACAAATAATACATTATATGTTAAAAAAAAAAAAGATAGTTGAGAGGGAAAAATGAAGGGGGAGAAATCGGAGGGAGAGATGAACCATGAGAGACTATGAACTCTGAGAAACAAACTGAGAGTTTTAGAAGGGAAGGGGTGGGGGGATAGGTTACCCCAGTGATGGATATTAAGGAGGGCACGTATTGAATGGAGCACTGGGTGTTATACGCAAACAATGAATCATGGAACACTACATCAAAAACTAATGATGTAATGAATGGTGACTAACATAACATAATAAAATTAAATTTTAAAAAAATTTTAAAAAGCTGTATGGTCATCTAGATAGTGTGGCATTGACATAAGATAGATAGAGAAAGGAATGGAACAGCATAGTGACGGTGGAGAGAGCTGTTACGGATTGAACTGTGTCCTCCAAAATTCACATGTGGAAGCCCCAACTGTACTTGGAAATAATTAAGGTTAAATGAGGTCATAAAGGGTGGGGCTCTACTCCAATAGCACTGATGTCCTTATAAGAAGAGAGATACCAGGGAGGCACAGAGAAAAGGCCGTGTGAGGACACAGGGAGAAGGCAGCCTTCCAGAAGCCAAGGAGAGAAGTTTCACCAGAAACCAACCCTGCCTCACATCTTGATCTTGGACTTCCAGTTTCCATGACTGTTAATTTTTATTAATAGTTAATGTTAATTTTTGTTTAAGCTGCCCAATCTGTGGTATTCTGTTATAGCAGCTCCAACAAACTAATACAGATTTAGCACTGACATAAAGATTGATATATAGATCAGTGAAACAGAATGGAATCCAGAAGCAGACCCACATAAATTTGGTGGGCATATTTTTGACAGAGAGCAATGCAATCCAATGAATAATTAGGCTTTTTAAACAAATAATTCTAGAACTGGACATTCATATGAGGAAAAGAATCTTGACCCCTCCTTCACGGCATATACAGAAATTAATTCAAAATGGACCATCTACCTAACTGGAAAATTAAAACAATAAAATGCCAGGAAGAAAACAGAGGAGAAAAATCTTCACAACCCTGAGTTAAACAAAATTTTTTAGATTGCACACAAAAGGCATAACCATAAAGGGAATATGTTTGATGATTTCAACTTCATAAAACTTGAAACCTTTTAACTTTCAAACACCCTGGTAAAATGAAGAGGCAAGCCACAGACCTGGAGAAAACAGTCACAATACAAACATCTGACAAAGAATGTATATCCAAAATAAATAAAGAACTACTAAAACTTAATAAGAAGACAAATTGCCCAATAAAAAAAATGAACTGGGTTTTTAATAGACACGCCCACAAAGTAAGATATGTGAATTATGATCAGTAAGCACATGAAAAGATGCTCAACATCTGCTATGGATTGAATGCTTATGTCCCCCTAAATTCATATGTTGAAATCCTAACTCCCAAAGTGCTGGTTTTAGGAGTTGGGGGTCTTCAGGAGATGACTCATGAGAGTGGAACCCTCATGAATTGGAGTAGTGCCCCGATTTAAAAAAAAAAATAAAAGACCCCAAAGAGCTCTCTCTGCTCTCCACCATGTAACGATACAATGGAAATGGATGGAACCCAGAAGATCGCCCTCACCAGAACCTGACCATGCTGGCCTCCTGGTCCCAAACTTCCAGCCCCCGGAACAGTAAGATATAAATTTCTGTTGTTTATAAGCCACCTGGTCTGTGGTACTTTGTTATAGCAGTGCAAACAGACTAAGACAACATCATTCATCATTGGGGAAGTGCATATAAAAACTAGATCGAGGTACCACTACACAACCAATAGAATGCCTAAAAAAATTTTGCCAATAGGAACGTGGAGCAACTAACATTCTCAGGTTGCTGGTAGAAATGTAAATTGGTTCAAACCCCTTGAAAACAGGTTGGTGGTTTCTTATCAAATTAAACATGCACCTGCCATATGACCCAGCATCTGCATTTCTGGGTGCTAACCCAAGCAGAATGAGAACATGTGTCCACCCAAACAGTTGTATCCAGGTGTTCATAGCAGTTTTATTCATGATCATAAGAAACTAGAAACAGCCCAAAGTCCGTCAGTAGGTAAAGAGATAAATTGTACCATATTCATACAATATATTACTCATCAATAACACTGAACACACAAACATGGAGACAACTCAGAAGCATTATGTTGAGCAAAAGTAGCTAACCACAAAAGAGTATGAAGTTCCATTTATGCAGTTATAGACCAGGCAAAATTACTCCATAGTGACAAAGCAGATTAGTGGATCCCTCTGGCAGGGTGAGGGTAAGGAGGGAACAGACTGTAAAAGGGTATAAGGGAACTTTCCGGGATGATGGAAATGTTCTTTCTCTTGACTGGGATGGTAGTCCACAGGTGTAGACATGTCAAAACTCATCAAACTGTACATTTAAAATGTGTGCATTTTATTGTCTGAATTATACCACAATAAAGTTGATTCCTTTTAAAGATCATTTAGAGTAAAAATGTAAAAGCAAGGCAAGGAATGAGAACAGAAGTGGGCCTTCTCAGCAGAGAGAAGGGAGGGAAAACTCCAGTGGAATGTCACTGGGCTGCCATGTTACCTACTTCTGCAATGTTTGGGGGTTTTGTAGTAAGCATGCATGCCATAGATAACTGGAAAAAAGTTAAACTCTAAAAACGATCTTACAGCACCGCTCTGTGAGGGCAGCAGGGATGCCTGCCCCCCAGTGAGTCACTTTCCTTCCTCCTCTTCTTGCCACCAGACGCTGTTGGCATTGCTGATCTTGGTGCTGTACGTGGGCACAGGAATATCAGGTGAGCATTCTGGAAGCTGAGAAAGGAGAAGCCGAGTCCACCCGGAGTCAGGAGGGGTATTCTGGAGATGGCTGCATGTCAATGGAGCCTCCAAAACTTGCCTTCTCCCCCCTTCACCCACTGGGATGACCAACCATGTTCATTTCAATGACTGCTCATTTGCCCTTGTTAAGAGGTGATGTTTGTGCCTGTTTCAGGAAGAAGTTGGGAAGTGTCAGAAAGGATCAGAGAATGTAACTATCCCCAGAATCCTGTGGCTTCCCAGGTAACATATTCAAAAAAGGTGCTGAGGGGATGTCAAGTTTGACTGAGGAAATCTGGGAAGGCTTCCCAGAGGTGTCATGGGCGAGCTGGATCTTGAAGGATAAGTAGGAGCTGGCCACGTGGAGAAGGTGGGGATGGGCACTCCAGAGAGAAGGAATAGCAGATGCAAAGGCTCAGAAAACTTTTTGAAACCAGTGGCAAGGGGGTCCTACGTGAAAAAGCTCAAGATGCAACTTTGATGTCTGCCTTTCAGGGATTTGAATACCAGACCAATGAACCCGCAGAAGAGCCAATAAAGGTCATCAGGACCTGGTTGAAGGAAAACTTGCATGTTTTCTTGGAGAAGCTAGAGAAAGAGGTGCGAGAGCTGGAGCAGCTGGTCCAGGACCTGGAGGAGTGGTTAGATGCTCTTCTGGGAGAGGGGCACCCGGAGGATCCCTGCTCCAACTTCAAAATTCACCTGTGAGGGCCAGGGCTGGAACCTGGGGAGGACGCCAAGCGGAAGCGGGGGGTGGGGCGGGGGGAAGGTTGCCAGGGGCTCCTTAATAAGGGCTGAGCTGTGACACTTGAATGTCAAAGCAGGCAAGAAAATAAAATAGTTGGGACACTAAGAACCTTGCTGGTTCATGAACACTGTCAGGATGACCCCAAGGCTCTGCTGAGATATCCTCCAGCCCACCAGAACTCTGGCACATTGGAACCAAGCCAACCTCCGGGTCAGGACCCTCGCCCACTTACCTGAGATATGGTGCAAATTCCCTAACCTCTCAGAGACAAAACTGCCTCATTAGTAAAAATCAGGGATGCCAATTTGCCTCAGAGCATTACAGTGAGGACCAGACGTGTATGTGCATAGAGCAGGTGCCTGATAAACAGTTCTTCCTTCCTTCCTTTCTTCCATTCCTTTTCCTTCCTCCCTGGAACTTAGCAAGACTCTGGTTCTGGAGTGTATAGATGTTATGGGGCAACTCAACTCTCAGACACTGCTGCTGAGAGCATGAATTGCCAAACCCCCCGTGCAGGGGAATTGGTGATAGCATTCAAAGTCACATAGCAAAACAAAGGACCAGGAGGGCCCAGTGTCAGTTAGTAGAGGTGCAGCCAAACAGTGGATACCCTGTAGCTATGAAAGAGAATGAGGACGCTTTCCTACTGATAGAGAAGTGTCCACAGAAAAAGGTTGTTAAATGAGAGAAATCAAGGCGTAAGAAGAGCATGGGACAAGAATCTATATTTCATTGTTGTTGATGATGACGATGTTATTGAATGTGCAAGAAAACGCTAGAAGGATACAAAATGGTGGTGGGGGGCAGATTGGGGAAGTTGAAAGTGGGCAAATGTACGACCAGGATGAAAGAGAAACTTTTCACACTCTTTTATTTTCAGACTACATGATTGTTTTGCCTATTCAAATATTTTTAAAAGAAAATTACCCATTATTTTGCCCGCAGAGAAGCACAGGAATACAGTGTATACAAGCAAAATAAGAATATCACTATGTTGAGGGGCGCCTGGGTGGCTCAGTTGGTTAAGCGACTGCCTTCGGCTCAGGTCATGATCCTGGAGTCCTGGGATCGAGTCCCGCATTGGGCTCCCTGCTCAGCAGGGGGTCTGCTTCTCCCTCTGCCCTCTTCCCTCTTGTGCTCTCTGTCTCTCATTCTCTCTCTCAAATAAATAAATAAAATCTTAAAAAAAAAAAAAAAAGAATATCACTATGTTGAAATTATGAGTGACTTATTTTTTTTAAACAGTGCTAAGAGAAAACCCTCTCTTTTGATTAACTTATTTTGATTAAACAATGATAATTCTTATCTAGGATTTTCCCTTGACTTCCAGGAAGTTCAGCGTTTAGTTGTCCATGGTGGGAATTATATCTGTCTCACTTTTTTGGACCATTCGCCCCTTTCTAAGATTTTTTGTTTTCCAATTTTAACGGAGCTATTATATACATACCAACTGTTAGAACCACCTCAAATCTCTGGAAAGTCAAGAGGGGTCCAATTCAAATCATCTCATAGAAAATCTGACTGACAGGGAATGGCACAGAAATTCTGTTTGCTGGGAGGAATTATTCAATTGCCACTTGGGAAGGAAAAAGTCTTTGCAAGTTACAGTCACAGTTTTGCCGCTTTGAGTATATGTCAGCGGGTGGGGACCAGAATCTGTTTTTCTCCTTTGCAGCTATTTTAGCAAGTGTTCTGTAGGAAGGTCTGATAATGATATTTCTTTGCATTTATTTTTACTGTTACTCTAAAGGCTATAATAACATACCCAAAATCATGTACATGGGCTCTACTGGTATTTAGAGGGTTCCCAGGCAGAATTTTGACTATATACACATTTAGCCGAACCCACATTTCAGCCTCTAACTCCTATCTAAGTTGCAATTGTATTGTACCTGTAATATATATCTGTGTATATGTTTATGTTTACATATTATATATATTTATGTTTTCTTTTATATATATGATATAGTTGTAAATATTTTTTATAAAACATATATGTATATAAAATTGGAGGAGACGTGAATTAAAAAAAAATGGAGCCTAGATCCTTGAGCATTGAACCACCCCTGTGGTTATTAGCAGAGCCTTTGAGCAAAGGAGTCACACCCTGAAAGCGCTCAGGCGTTACCCCCACACACCCACACACAGGGCCTGATAGAAACAGCCCATGCTGGTGCGGGGTTGCCGCCCACTGCTGGTGGTCACTTTTGGGATGTTGGCTTGTGAGCCCATAAGAACAGCAAGCCACTCAGCGCGGCTCAGGCAATGAGGGTTTGTTGTGGCACAACACGGGAGCCAGAATCTCATGGAAATCAGGAGCATACCATAACTTGGGATCCTGGAGACTGGAACAGGAAGGTATTTAAGAACCCAGGGTATCCACCGAGGTGCTCCAGGAGCCCCGTCGCAAGAATCTGGGAGCTTACCTCTAGCTTTCCACTTTTACCTTCACTTGGCCGCTCTCTGGGTCTCTGCTTCTCTTTGTGTGTCTGCCCCCTATCTTCCTGCTTCCAATGGCTTCCTTGCCCCCCACTCTATCTAGCCCTGCTTCAGCTCAGCACTTCTGCCTGTGAGTCCTCCTAACTCTAATTTGCTCCTGGTCCCACAAGGCCTCTCCCTTTCTCATGACCTCCCAAACTTCCAGTGACCATACAATTCTGTCTGCACTTCACAGATCAGGCTCCAGGGGAGTGGGTGGGTTATGATTGACTCATCTCATTAGCTGGAGCTTCTTGTCCTGAGCCAGACTCTGTGCTGACCAGGCTTTGGACTAGATGACCTCGGGGTGACCACCCTCGCCCCCTCCCCCCGCTCCAATCAACTGTGACAGGACAGAGAGGGAAGGATCAAGTACTCCAGAATGGAGCTACCTCATATGAGAAACAGCCTGGGCCCCTTCCTGACGGGTGGCTCTGGACCGTGTGTAATGACCTCACATTTCCCAAGGTGGTCAGAAATGTGGCAGAGAGAGTGATGGCAATCCTTGTACCACGGAGCCCCAAGAGTCAGTATCAGGGAAGCAGAATTGTGTGAGACAAACATTCAAAGGCTGACTATAATTGCTGAGAATGAGGTGGGAGGCGCTTGGCCACCAGAGTCACCAGAGTCAACATAGGTGAGTGGGTCAGCCTAATCTGGGAATATTTCACTCATTCTCCAGTTCCTGGGTATGAAAAAGACAAATGACACACTTAAAAAGAAGATTATGGGGGTGCCTGGGTGGCTCAGATCATGAATGATCTCAGAGTCTTGGGATTAAGCCTGGCATCAGGTTCCACGCTCAGGGTGGAGTCTGCTCCAGATTCTCCCTCTCCCTCTGTCTCTCCTGCTGCTCTCTCTCTCTCTCAAGTAAATAAATAAGTAAATAAGTAAATAGAGTGTGACTACCTTTAATGACTTTGAAGTCTTATAATTTCAATGAGTTAGACAAAATGTTGCCCAGTAGATCTATTAAGGGGTCCACTTTCATATCTATAGAGTGGACTCGCCTTTGGGAGAAAAAATGTCTTTTACTTGAGAATACAACTATTTCCAGCTCCTTCCATTCAATCAAGAATAATGCTGCCAGCAGAGCAGGGTCTCCCTGCCCCCATCCCAGTCCCCAACCCAACCCCCTTCCAACAACAACCAGCTCCAACTGATTGTGATCTTGCAAGGCCCGGCTTCCCAGCCACTGAAGACTAATTTAAATAGAAAAGGGAGTGGTGCCTGGGTGGCTCAGTCCTTTAAGCATCTGCCTTCGGGTCAGGTCATGATCTCAGGGTCCTGGGATCGAGCCCTGCATTGGGCTCCCTGCTCAGCCAGGAGTCTGCTTCTCCCTCTCTCTCTGCCCGCACCCACCAAACCCGGGTCATGCTCGCTCTCTCTCTGTCTCTCTTAAATAAATAAATAAATTCTTTTAAAAAAAATAGAAAAGAGAAATTGAATAATAAAATCAGGAGTCAATTTTTTTTTTTAAAAAAAGAGAAAGAGTGGACTATGCATGTGCCAGCCACTGGTGAATGAGAAGTTTAAAGGCTAGTGGGAAAAACAAGCAGAAGAGTCAAGACAAGGCAATTTTGGAGAATGATAAATGTACAAGTAGAAATGAGGAAACAACTTAGCAAGCCACTGTGGTTTTCCAGGTGGAAACAGAAGCTTGGAGTAGGGAAGAGGTGCAGAGAAGCAGAATTCAGTTTGTAAGTATCATCAGCTGGACGTGCTGATGGAGAAGAATGAGGAAGAAGGGTCCAGACAGCTGTCTGCCCGGCCTCAGCACGCCCACTCTCTTCAGTGCAGGGCAACTTGAGCCATGATTTCAAGTCCTGACCCAAGATGCTCTCGAGGACTACGTGGAAGAGACAGGTGTGGTCTTGTTAAGGGAAAAGTGGCCAGTTGGAAAAATGTCCTGACCACTCAATTATCCCCATTTCTTCCTTTGTTTCAGGCACCTGGAGCATGAGGTCAGCATCACAAACAATTAAAAGTTTAATTAATTTTAATTGATGGTTTTCACCCCATCTCTCTTTTACTTAATAGATCTACTTGGCAGGCTTCCTGATGCTCCCTCAGGCTCTTCTCTTTTGCTAACACTGAATCATTCTACGTTTGTCTTTGTCTGTTTGATTGCTTTTGGTCAGCTTCTTTTCTGTGCCTCCAACTTATATAATGGGGAAAACACCCACAGTCATCCAGATAATTCATGTTTTAAAGATAAGAATCTGATAATCTAGACAAAAGTTGGATAAGATAAAGTCCACCTATGTATTAGCTATATGTATTTCCTAAGAATATCAGGATTATTGGGGAGAAATAATAAAATTGTGGCAAGAGACATTTAAAGAATGTGTTCCTGTTTTAGGGGCTTGGTCGAGTGTTATTGCTAGTTCCAATTTATGGATAAGAACACTGAGGCATAGAGAGATCATATAATTGATCAAATCATATCATCAGTGAATGGGAGCCAGAATTCAAACCCGGA